TGAGTGTCATCTTCTTGGCAGGTGATGAGTTGATGGCATATGTGATCAGAGTGGCATAGCTGTAACGTGGCTTCCCATCTTGGTGCACTGCAGCCTCGTCTTTACTCAAGGTGGCATTGGGATCTGTCGGTGAGCCTGGGGGACACTTTCGGGCAGCCCCTGGTGGTCCTGCTTGTGAGGACCCCCCTAACTTTTCAATAGTAGCCCTTAAAGTAAGCTGAGGGAGCCAGTCTATGGAAGTGAGGCTGCTTTCCAGGTCAGAGGCCATGATAGAAGAAACTGGAGTACCTGTGAGGAGGGAGGAGCAGAAAGGGAACTCCTGAGATACAAATAAGTTGAAATCTAAGAACAGAAATGTCTCTTTGCATTACTCTTCTACCTCTTCCCCTAATACAAAATACCTGTCTGAAGATCATACTACTCCATATACCTTATTCACAGCCAGACACAATTAACCAAAAAGGCCTGTGACTGTGCTCCTGGGAGGACCATCCTTGCTGATAATAGATAGGTAGGACAGAGCTGATAACTTTGCTGGCATGGTCTTACCCAGAGAGTCTCAACTGTACTCAGGTGAAGAATTAAGACATAAAAAAGAGATCTATTCAAAGGAGGTAAAACCTCTTCAGCAGCTGTATCTCGTTCACTCCTTTATTAATTAAGCAACATAACCTTAAGACCTTTCACCAAGATCCTGTAAATTTACTTTGTCAGGTAAAGAGGAGAATCACTGCTAAAAGGGAATATCCCTGCATGCCATATCCAAACCACAACTTAATTAGATCATCTATAATAGTCAGGACTGTGACTATCTTAATTTGGGGGAAAATTAATTTCTTTCTAAGGCCCAGTCTCTCTTGTTGCATCATTCGACATTATAATTAACCCCATTTCTTAGAGCTAGGATTACATATCTCATTTGGAAACATCAAGATCATACCTAACACTACAGATAGATAATTACATCTACCATGTTGAGGTGGACTAGACTGTATTGAGCTCATGAAAGTTACAATTTTGCCTTTCATCACACATTCTTCCTAAATAACCATATCATCTTATTGAATTAAATCTTATTTAATTCACAATATAATAGGCAAATATTTTTCTCAAATTCGAGACACAAGAGAAACTGACTTGTCCAAGGTCACATAGCAAGTTTGCCACAGGGAGGAAACAGAACCAGGATCTCCCGACTTCCAATTTTTCTGTTAGTCACAAGACCATATTTCCTCTCATGAAAATAAAACACACCTGCCCAACAAGACTACCATTTATACCCAGGCTTTTCTACTTAAACAATTATTTTATATGACATAAATATTTAGTAGCATAAACTGTGTATGAACTTGTGTATTTAGAACATGAGCTTGTAGGCTGTCTTTTCAAGTAATCAAGCCATTATAAAGATCACCACTCTTACTCCTAGTGGCTGCAACAACATACCAGCAGCAATCCCTCTAAGTTAGGATGTAGGTAGCTAAGTTTCCGTGGTCACAACTTGCACCACACCACACTTATTCTTTAAAAGAATGAAGAATTAAGTCTTTAGAGGCTGCAGGTTCCACATCTTTCATTTTTGAAATTAATCTTTTTAGAAGAAACTGCCTTGGAACATGCTAGTACATACAAAAGGTAAAAGCACAAACACACATGCATGCACACACATAGATACACACACTCATGTAACAAAGTAACCACAAACATATATGGAGAGATAATAAACTAATATGAACATACCCTGCTTAGGAAAAATTCATCAGCAGGCACCTCCCACCAAAAGCATCACCCATCTGAGCAGATCAGATGAGACAGGGAGACACCCATCTGCATGAATAACAATTAGACATTCATTCTAAAAATAGGTATTTGACAACAGCACAGTGTGGATGCACAGATCAAGACACTGATGCACTCAGCATTTTGACATACAATCTCCACCTTCTTCCCCCAGGATCATATGCATTGTACCTTGCACTTCTGCACTGAAGTGCTCCCACAGCACAAAAGCACACAAGGGCCTACATTCAAACACATGCGCGCATGCAACTAAACTATTCATTTTCATGCATGTGCTCATCACTCCTTTAAGGGCTCAAAAACCTAGGCAGTACCCCAAACAAAACCCAGCATTCAACCACCACCAGCAGTGGCTCCAACATATGGGGCTCAGAAGACACCTCAGAAAGCACAGCCAGTGTTATCACTTACACCCATATGCACGCACACACTGAAAAATAAAATGCAGCACTATGGTATATGTAGTGGGTGGAACATTTCTGTCTGTGGAGCAGAGGAAAGGAAAGGCCCAACTGCTACCAACTTATCTATCTACTCATCTGCCACACTATCGCATATGATAGCGATGACTACTTACTCTACATCTAGCTAGATGATTAGGGTTGCAAAAGGCTTTCCATTGCCTGCCCTTTTCAAGTTATTGCTTATTGAATATAACTCTTCTTGGCTGAATTGATCTAATCTTGCATACTTTTAAAAAGAAAAAGCAGCATTGTTCCTTCCTGAATTATGCAAGGGTAAAGTAATGATGTATTTTTCTACAGCAGAAAAGGAAGAAAACTGCTGAGGTATCCATGTAACACAAACCTAAGCTGCATTTGCATGATAATTTTACAGGTACAGCCCGCACTAAGGAATAGTATTCAGACCACCTTGGGAGGAAAAAAAACCCATGAACCAAATAGCAGTTGAACGCTTAGTTTTGTATGTGCCTCACATAAATTTTAATTTCCACAGTGAAACCAGAGAACAAATTACTGTTGCTTATCATATACATATTAAATCCTTACAAAATATCAATTGTGCTAACAATACAAATGCAAAATGAAATATAAGTTTCTCAACTCACTCTTTTTTTAAGAGCACAGACATAAAGAAAATTAAATTTAAAAAAATCTTATGCCAAATAGAGCTTCCAAGCTAAAGTGCCAGAGGCTCAAGAAACACAAGAAAATACTGCAGTTTTCACAGGATCCTCAGATTTGCCCACACTACATCAGCAGATCATTTGGGATGGTTGGCTATGCAGTAAAAGGTAAGGCTGATATGCATCATGCGAGCATAATACCCTCAGTTTCATTGGAGACAGGCAAGGTTAGAATTGAGTCACATTACAGCCACTAAGAATCCAAAAGTTTTCATTCCCTGGTTTATAAATCTCTTTGACAAGAGAAGAAAAATACCCAAGTCTTAAATTAAAAAAAAAAAAAATCTATTTATACATATGCACAAATCACCTAGTACTGAAACAACTACTATTCAATAAAATGCAGCAGCTCTTTAAGAATACACGTTAGAAAGTAATTTAGGATAGAAAGATAATACTCTTAGATTCAACTGTAATTGCATAGAAAATTTCAAATTGGTAGATAAGATTATTTTCCAAGTTTAAACTTGATCATGATACTGGGTTCATAAATTAGTATCCTGGCAGAGGCAATATGGGATCTCTAATAATCCAGCACAGTCAAACCCTCAGGTAAAATGGCAATTCCAGCAACACAGTAAGTACAAAAATAATATGTTGTAATCTGCTACTAACCTATTTGAAAGAACATTCACTATTAAATAACTACAGTTACAGCACTTTGTGCCGCATATTACATTCACCTGATTTGTCTCTCATCCAAGTACTACACCAGCTTGACACTGCTTAATGATATGATACAAGACTGCAGCCAAGCCAGAGCAGTTCATGATTCCTCCAGTTTCCGCTTCCCAGCTCACTGTCTGGCAAATGTTCTTTCAAACTCCTCTCTTATGATCCCATTCAAACACAAAAAACCCAAATAACTAAACAGACACACTGAACTGAAATTGAGGATGTTTAAAAATTAAAATCCTACCACATTAGCAAGCTAGAACTAACTTCTAAGAAGTAAAAGGAAACTTAAACACTATAATTCATAACCTCCCAATTTAAAGTCAACCAAATACATAAACTGACACCATTTACCTTTGCACATGTAAAAACCAAGGCTAAGGTAGCCAGTCATAATCATCATCAAGAGCTGGAAATAAACTGTAGTTTCTTCATTTTTCAAGCACTAGCTAGTTCCAGTACAACCCCAAGTCATGACAGGTCAGAGATATGTAAAGATGACAGCCAAGCACTGATCCAAATCTATGATTAAACACGTGGGGATCTGTCTGACTGAGAAGGAAAATATATTAATCATTAAAGAAAATCCTACCATTGAATACATTTTAATGTATCCACTTGGGACTAGTGACAGCTCACAGCTCTTCAGGGAAGCTTCTTCCTTACTTTGAATATTTGGGATCAGCAAATTGAACCTCACACTGAAAACATAACCACAGTCTTCTATCAGATTTCCTGTACCATATCTGCTGCTGGACTGAAGAAACTGGGACTGTGCCTAACCTGCTATTTGGCAAATGCTTACTCCCAGCCAGTCTGATTCTATCCAACATCACTGCTACTTTAATAGATCAGGACTGAAAAGATGTATGAAATATGGGGATCAGAGCTCTAAAAGTCATCCTGAAGGCAGTTAATAAACATTTATGACCAAATATTCTCTAAGGCAGAACTCAAAGGCTGGCCAGTCAGTATACCTACAACTGAAGCAGGAGAGTGAAACAATGAATGAAAAGATGCTGTGCACAGCCCGTAGAAGATGCACTTCTTTCGCTGTTGCGTTATTTTTCTTCCTGCTGCAATTCTAATCCAGTGAAAAACTACTGGCAAAACACTCAAAGGAGACTCAGCTTAGGTTTCTCAGCACAAACTTGGAGCAGGAATATATTCAAAACATCTTGAATTGCAGGTGCCTGAAATTCAGATCAAGGGATCTAACTGACAATGCTCATCTAACATAGCTAAAGAGATATGGCTGGCTTCTGGGGTATTACAAAAACAGTAATAAAAAATCACTACAAAAGGAACCATTTGACTGTAGCCTTTCTAAGACAGAAAGGTGAGCAAGATGGCAATGAGAGGAAGCTGCCTCAAAAAGCAAGAAAGAAAAGTAACACGTAAGGTGAGACATGCATGGAAAAATGGACAGCTTCTGCTTTGATGGGAAAAAGACAAGTTTTGAAGTACGTTTAAAGTACACTTGCAAAAAACTTGTATTCTTATGCCAATACAAAAAAGGGGAAAGAATCAATTTTTCTACCTCTGGTAGGAGAAGAAATTTGCCATTTTAAGATGCATGTTTTCCCTTAAAAACAGAGAGATATGGATGAAGAGGGCAGGAAGAAAACACTTCAAATCTTATCTTCTCTAAGCAAACCTCCTCACT